TCACAGTTGTAGTAGGAATTGAAAGGTATACTAGAATCACAAGTAGGAATCAAAATATATGCTTTGAATTGTATTCATTTGGGACCGTGTAAGTTCAATGAAATCTGCAATTGATTTAGAAATATATATCCAAGGGCAAGGCATGACCAGCCGATTGACCAAACAGCCGGGCTCACTTGGCCACCCGTCTACCCTAAATCAGAGGCCAAAGCAGTATGTTGGGAGTACTGGAGATCCCTGGGTATCCCTCAACTCCCAGGACCCTCTTTTCTAGGTTACGGGACGCTGCCCACGGCAAACAGGCAGTCTGGGTGTTGGCCATATGCCCGTCATACAGGTGCACAGCATTGCACCTCCATAACGGACTATAAGAATCTTACACCGGCTGCCGGTACAGACCGGAATATCTAGCTCGAGGGTAACTGTTTACGGCGGTAACGAGGCTCTGCCGAGTTTCCGCTAAACAGTTACCCGAGAGCTAGATATTCCCGTCTGTACCAACAGCCGGTGTTTGATTCTTTTTCTTGCATATTACATGTCAATTATTTTCGGAACAGAAATTATGAAAACTGATATTCTCTTTACGCACTTTTTTCTTATAGTAGCGTATGAGCTTACAACTTCTTCAAAACGGCAAATGACGTCATCCTAAGAACGCGATTCATTCATAAAAGGCGCGCGTCAATGACGTCATTTAAAGCACGCGACTTGTCTTTAATGGGGGGTGTAAGACAGAGTTTTCTAGCACCGGTGTAAACGGTAGATAATCCTGTCTGAGATGCAAGAAATATGTTACTCCTCCTCACCACGTAGAGGCACCCAAAAGAAAAGGAGATACGGATTCATTTGGAGTTAAGTTTTGAAAGATTTTTGTATTTGCTGCAAAAAATAGCTTTTGTAGGCACTAAAACAGACTTAAACAAGAATGCATTTGAGAAAAATAGCTGTGCATCAAAGGACAAGAAAGTAGGTCACATCATCAAAATCTAGGTCAAAGTTCAATTTTACAACTAAAACTGTGCACATGGTCAAAATTTCTTTGCTGTACATCAAAGGACATGAAAGTAGGTCACTGTCTCCTTGGGCAAGGCATAATTTTGACCCAAGGGTTTAATAACAATCTTGATACAGGTCCACCAAACAACATTTCAAGTCAAATATCTAAGCTATAGCTTTCTCCCATTCAGAAAACATTTGTTTTATTTTCTGTTTTTATATGTGTACATAATGAGAATCACTGCCCCCAAACAGTGCCAATTTTTGACATTTGAACAACTTTGGTACTAAGAGGACCTATAGATGATATTATATATCAAATATCAAAGCTTTATGCCTTGAAACTTCAGACTAAAATATATATATTTTTTCACTATGTGTACATAATGAAAATCAATGACCCCCAGGGCGGAACCAATTTTGACCCCAGGGCTATAATTTGAACAATATTGCTAGAGGTTCACTACACAATGGTTCATGCAAAATATCTTAACTCTATCCTTGTAAATTTACAGAAGATGATTTTTTAAGTTTTAACAATATACATATAAGATAAACCTATGGCTCCCAGGGGCGGGGCTAATTTTGACACAAGAGGCAAAATTTGGACAACTTTGGTAGAGTACCTTTAGATGATATTATTTGACAAATATTAAAGCTCTAAGCCTTGTACCTTCAAACAATATTTATTTTTTACTATATGTATATATTGAAATCAATGACCCCCAGGGCGGGGGCAATTTTGACCCCAGGGCTATAATATGAACAATCTTGCTAGGGGTTTACAACACAATGTTTCATGCAAGATATCTAACCTCTAGCATTTGTCAATTGCTAGAAGAATTTTTTTAAGTTTTTACTATATACATATAAGGAAAACCAATGACCCCTGGGGCGGGGCCGATTTTCACCCCAGGGCTTTAATTTGAACAATCTGGGTACAGGTCTACCAGACAATGCCTTATGCAAAATATCTAGGCTCTAGACCTTTTGGGTCTTTACAAGAAAGTGTTTTAAGTTTTTACTATATGTACATATAGCGAAAATCAATGACCCCGGGGCGGGGCCAATTTTGACCCAAGGGCTATTATTTGAACAATCTTGGTAAGGGTCTATCAGATGATGCCTTATACAAAATATCTAAGCTCTAGGCCTTTTGGGTTTTTACAAGAAGGTATTTAAAGTTTTTACTATATGTACATAGTGAAAATCAATGACCCCCGGGGCAGGGCCAATTTTGACCCCAGGGCTAAAATTTGAACAATCTTGTTAGAGGTCTACCAGCCTTATGCAAAATATCTAAGCTCTAGGCCTTTTGGGTCTTTACAAGAAGATTTTTTAAATTTATTCTTATAATTCCTTTTGGTTGCCATGGCAACCAGATTTCTGCATTGTTTGAAATTCTTTTAACAACTTTGGAAGCCCTTCATCCAAGGAACAATCCTGCCAAGTTTGGTTGAAAGTGGACTAGTAGTTTTTCACAAGAAGATTTTTTAAGTTCACTATATAATCTATATAACACACGCACACACACACACACAAACACACACACACAGGTGAATCGCTATATGCCACCGCACCGCAGATTGCGGTGGCATAAAAAGGATTTTGCCATTCATGAAATGTGCATAAAACTTTGCAACAGAATGTTTTTGGTCTTCAGAAATGTAGCACATTCAAGGTAAATATACTTATTGTTATCATTTTCATTTTTCTTTAAAATTGTCCTTGAAATATAAACCTGGATGTGTACTTTCAAATGGTTCATCATTTTACAATAAGAGCTTTATTGTTATATGAAATTTGGCCTACTTTCACTTTGGACAGACTTTGTGAAAGCAAACATTGCTGACAAAGCGGAATCACCTTAAAACATGAAATTTTGTTGACCTTTAGCTGTCTGAGTCTGCATTATTAAATTATATCTCCCTTTACCACTACACAAAGGAATCAAGCGCTACAAAAATCAGTAGAAAACTAACATTAATCTTACATAATTAAATTTGTCTACAATATCAGAATGGCATGAATTATTCAGTTTTTTAATGAAGTTCGTTGACGTTACCTTTTTGACAATCACATAATTTACAAGTAAAAAATTACGATTGTATTTTACGTTATTATGTTAGGATAACTTTACTTTCATTCGTCTTAGACATTTATATTACTGTACTTACATCAGGCAAAAAGAAATACATGTACAGAAAAAATGTTCAAAGAGCAGAATGCATACAGAGAGAAATTTGTATTTGGCACAACAAGCTGTATTGCTAATGTTTTTATGTGTGGCCCGATACCATTTATCAGTTCATAGTATCTGATAATTACAAAAAAGACAAAATCCAGGGTCAGTACGGCTGATCTCATCAGTAATATTGTCATGGGCAGTCATTTCCGCTGATCTCATCAGTAATATTTGCACAGTCAGCACCGCAAAACTCATCAGTAATGATGGCATGGTCAGCACCGCAGAACTCATCAGTAATGTTGCACTGTCACCACCGTCGAACTCATCAGTAATGTTAGCACATTCAGCACCACCGAACTCATCAGTAATGTGAGCACGGTCAGCACCGCCGAACTCATCAGTAATAATGTCACAGTCAGTCAGTACGGAAGATCTCATCAGTAATGCTGGCACGGTCAGCACCGCCGAACTCATCAGTAATAATAATACAGTCAGTCAGTACGGTTGATCTCATCATAAATGTAGGCACGGTCAGCATCGCCGAACTCATCAGTATTGTTTGCACAGTCAGTCAGTACGGCTGATCTCATCAGTAATGTTGGCACGGTCAGCATCGCCGAACTCATCAGTAATGTTGGCACAGTAAATCGTACTGCCCGGCTGATCTCATCAGTAATTTGGGCACAGTCAGCATCGCCAAACTCATCAGTAATGTTGTCATATTCAGCACGGCTGATCTCAACAGTAATGTTGGCACGGTCAGCATCGCCGAACTCATCAGTAATGTTGGCACAGTCAGTCAGTACGGCTGATATCATCAGTAATGTTGGCACAGTCAGCATCGCCGAACTCATCAGTAATGTTGTCACATTCAGCACCGCCGAACTCATCAGTAATGTTAACAAGGTCAGAACATCTGATCTCAACAGTAATGTTGGCACGGTCAGTACAGTTGATCTCATCAGTAATGTTAGCAAAGTCAGTACATCAGATGTCATCAGTAATGTTGGCACGGTCAGTACTGCCTATCTCATCTGTAATGTTGACAAGGTCAGTACCTCTGATCTCATCAGTTATAATGAAATGGTCAGTACCTCTGATCTCATCAGTAATGTTGACATGGTCACTACTGCTGATTTCATTGGTTATGTTGACACGGTCAGTACCTCTGACCTCATCAGTATTGTTGACATGGTCAGTACCTCTGACCTCATCAGTATTGTTGACATGGACAGTACCTCTGATCTCATCTGTAATGTTGATACGGTCAGTACCTCTGATCTCATCAGTAATGTTGACACGGTCAGTACGGCTGATTTCATCGGTTATGTTGACATTGTCAGTACCTCTGACCTCATCAGTATTGTTGACATGGTCAGTATCTCTGATCTCGTCAGTAATGTTGATACGGTCAGTACCTCTGTTCTCATCAGTAATGTTGACACGGTCAGTACCTCTGATCTAATCAGTAATGTTGACGCGGTCAGTACCTCTGATCTCATCAGTAATGTTGACATGGTCACTACTGCTGATTTCATCGGTTATGTTGACACGGTCAGTACCTCTGACCTCATCAGTATTTTTGACATGGTCAGTATCTCTGATCTCATCAGTAATGTTGATACGGTCAGTACCTCTGTTCTCATCAGTAATGTTGACACGGTCAGTACCTCTGATCTAATCAGTAATGTTGACACGATCAGTACGGCTGATTACAAAGTATGTGATATTTGTCCCAAGGTATTTCAAAATCCCACAATGTATGACAAAGTTACAGTCCGGACATGTATGAAGTGGGGACACACAGACGGACAATATTTTATAGCCTTTCTGCAATTAATATAATGTTACAAGAAGACATAGCGTGTACTGTGACTCGGAGATGAAAAATTAAGAAGTTCTTTTATTCTAGTTTCTGATTAAAAAATTACCATTTTTTATCACCAGTTTATTGACATTTTGATAAAATAATTGCCAAATGTCGACCTGTAGGCCGAGCCCTGATTTTCGGGGGCATTCGTCTCTTTTGCATGACAGGTCTTGTTTTGTTCTGATTGAATATGGAATATATCTCACTGAGAAGTGTACAGTAGGGTGAACGTTTCGGTTGTCAAAAATAGCGTTTTTCGTGCGTCCGTTTTTCGTGTAACGTGCGTGCGTATAGCGTGCAACGTGCGTTTGCTGAAACGCTTTCTCAAGCGTGCATCGTTTACAAGCGTTTAACGTTTATCGTTTTCCGTGTATCGTTTTTCGTTTATCGTGCGTCTGAAAGCGTGCGTTTCTTATTCCCAGAAACGTTTAGCGTGCGTCTGCGTTCGTCTAAGCGCTTAAGTACCGTGTTTTGCGTCTGTTACTATTGAGAAGTAAAAGAATTTCTTAGATAGATATATTATGTAAATTTGTTGTTTCTTAAACATGTAAGAGATGTTCTGTGTCCCTGTCAAAGAATAGAAATATTATATAAAGAAGTATTATTGTGATATTTACATTAAAGTTTTAAAGTTTGTGACCTCGCGGTGAATACTGGTCAGATTTCTACATGCTTAAAGCCGAAGATCAATTAGTTTTAATCCTATTTTACATACGCATAAGATATAATTACTAATTAATTGCAACATTTTTGATATTCAATTTAGCAAACAGATGTTAATATGCGAACCAATATATATTAGATACGAGGTTCGTCAGACATCAAATGATGTGATCAGACTAGCAACCCACCCCCTTTACAAGTTCATCTTCTGACTTTTCATCAAAGACTGTCCTCCTATCCGAATACTATTTAGGGTGATAATTATTTTAGACAGTTCCTTCCTATTTTTCTTGACGGATTTATATTGATATGTAACAGCCTGGCAGGCACTCGAACCCCTGACACTCGGAATACGATTCCGCGTCACTTGAGTTCCTCTGAGCTATTCGGCCGCTTACACGTTTTACTTGTTTAAATACTGAATAGTTATAAACCTACTGTGTATGCAACTATTTCTTCGAATTTCCCAGGCTTACTTAGCATTATGAATTAATTTCTAGCTGGGCTATACAAATGTTTGTCAGTCACAGGGTGAGAAAAAGGTGCATCCTGACATGTACTCGAACCCGTGACCGTCTAAATACTGTACCGCAGCTGTACCGACATTTGTTAATAGTTTCATTATTTGTACATGTATAGTGAACATTTTACTAATTATACTTTGTACATTGTATTATTTCTATATTTTTGTACAAATAAAAATAACTAGATATTTTTCTAGATAAAAAATTCTATGGTGGCTAAAATATAGCATGTTGAACTTTTTAGACATGTATTCACAACAGACAGGCTAAGCCACCCTTTACAAAATTCCCCTATCTGTCAGCTCATAATCAAGCCATAGACTACTATTTTTGTATGTGGCCTGGGCTTTTACTGGTCACTTACAAACCGTATAACACTGATAGCGAACAGATGCCCAGGCTGGTCTGGATCCATGCTGGTCGCAAACCCATTATGTTGCTTTTATCGTGGCAGGGCTCAAATAGGTCAATAATATAACCCACTTTGATAAACATATATAGCTTTCTTGATTTTTATTCTGTATATTATCTAAAATCACTTTTAAGGTTTATCATTAATATAAAAAATGGGAGTAATATTACCTGATTATAACCTCATGGTAAATGAATCAAAGTTATATAAGCAACATAGTATTATTATATTAAGTTAAACCTACATCAAATTGACTTATATAAGAAAATCCCAACAAATTTCATTGCAAATTAAGAAATAATGGCTAATTTTCTACAATGCCTAATTAATAACTTTACCACACTAAATCATTGAAAATTTGGGTAAGTTAAATACCTTGTTATAACCATTTGGTCACTGAAACAAAGTAAGTAAAGCCAAATAATGTTATACTATCAAGTAACTACTACATCTAATTGACTAAAATAAGAAAACCCCATTGAATTATATTGACAATGACGAGAGATAAGGTAAATTTTCTATGATGCCTATTTGTTCAAGCAAATACATTACATATTTAAAAATGGGGGTAATTTTCCCTTATTATAACCTCCTAGGAAATGAAACCAAGTTAGTAAGGCAACATATCACTATAATATTGAGTAACAATTACATCTGTTTGATTGATATTGAAAAAATCCACCAAATTTCATTGAAAAATAAAAAAAAGGTATGGCAAATGTCCTATAATGCAGACAGAGGTGTTCAGATCCACTATCAGTAAGGAAGTGTTCCCTTCCCTGTCAGGGACCATTACTGGCATGGTATATGGAATCACAAAAAAGATACTGTAAAACTGTTTTTTTTCATTTTTACAGCTCTGAACTATTCACTAATGAGGGGACATAAGATAAGTTAGTTAACATAAACCCGTTTTAAATACATGAATGGCTAGCTATCATTTAACCCTTTCCCTGCCAGAGGGTTATTGTTTTATTGTTCACCTATTTGCCAGAGGATTTTCTAAGAAATTACTATATTATTAATTAATATAATTATTATTATTTGTTATTAGTATTATAATAATTATATATGTTTCCAAATCTGTTAGTATAATAATAATTATTGTCGATGGTATAATTTTCTTTATATTTATTATTATTTTTATTATTATTATTATTAATTTATTATTATAACTATTATTTTTATAGAAACGGCTAAAGCCGTCCATATGGCAAATACGCCGAAAATAACAGGGACGGCTAAAGCCGTCCCTATGGCACTGAAAGGGTTAATCAAATCACTAAACGATCCTAAGCTTAGAAGTTGTTAAAAATTTATATGATAAGGATATTTTATTAACGTTTAGAAACGATTTCTATTTTGCGTGCGTTTTAGCGTGTGTATATCGTGTAGCGTATTTCGTTTTGCACGCGTTTGCGTATTTCGTTTCATAAAGGGTGCGTGTAACGTGTGTTCGTATAGCATGTAACGTGCATGCGTTTTTTCCGCAACGTGCGTTTAGCGTGTAAACTGAATCGTTCACCCTACTGTATCACATACACAAAATAAAGACCGTTTAAAGTGAAATAAGAGTAGTTTTTCATTTATACGCCTATAGTATAACGCTACCATTTAGCCATCTTTACATAATGTTTTTATAACGCTAATGAGGTCATGTCAAATTATATGCATGGATGTGCAATACCATATTTACTGAGTGGCAAAATCGGCACTGGTGTGTGATAAAGCATATTAATACGGGGAAGTCAAAAACCGCGGGTCCGGGCTTTGACTTGCCCGGCTATAGACTACATGTGTATATTTAAAAGAAAATCAAATGAAAAACAATTAAAAATATATAGAATTCTATACCTATCAATGAAATTTTCAGTGTCAGTTCTAGTCGGGGGCCACCATTTACAATGTAACTCAATGATAAAAGGCGGGGTATTCCGATAACGGAATAAATCTCAACTTTTCGGATAAATAATAAACGTCGAGTTCCGAGTGAAAAGGGAAGCGGTGCATGTAATACCGAATGACAATTTTAAAACGGAAAGAAAGAAAGGAATTTTTTAACGACTTCCCCGTTCATAGGCTCTGCCTAATTTCATATTACATATTAAGCGCAGATCAATAAGTTTCAATTTTAAGTGATATGAAAAATATTTTCTGTTGTGCTGTCTTTGTAAATCCAATAATTTTCCTCATTTCTTTCCTCTTGATTACAGTTTCAGACCTAAAATAAAATTGCGTTCTTAATATTTATATAGATCTATACTAATATATTGTAATGTCCTAGAAATTTTACCTTTTTTAGTGATTTCGCTGATTATTTCTACTTTCACTTTCGTTTTGAGAAGCTTTTACTGGCGACAAGACAGTAAATCAATTGCGGTGTCCTAAAGAAACATACAGGACATCAACTTAAATCTACGTATTGTGCCAGCAATTTAATCATTCTTGATTCTGGAAGCTTTTCCTTTAATGTTATCCATTTCCCTCAATGTTATCGTGGTAGAATCCTGTGTTTTTAATCTGTTTTCGTGACTTCTGTCAAAATAGTTAATTCCTTTATTTTACACTCAAGATTATATATTTCGATTGTTTATGATGCAGCCTCACTTAATATATAGATTTGCATCATAAATCCATCTGAATTTAATTGTTACCACTGTATATTTATAAAAATTTGCAATGAATTTTTCAATGTCGGCCATTTTTGACTATTACGTAGAGATTACGTAGTGGATGCAAGGGATAGTTCTTTATCCAATTGCGTATAAAAAGGAACACTTTACATTAACTTTTTTACTTTCGATATTAGCGCATGATAGCTTATAAATATATCTAAAAATCATTTGTTGAGGCTGTGACAAAAATTTATTTCGGTGCTAGGTTGAGTGTATTTCAGTTCTTACATAAACTCGTTTAAAATACATTTCTAGCTATACCTTACAGTATAGATCTACATGTATATGATGATCAAAATGTATCGCTTAAACGTTCTACATGTAGCTAAAGTTGTTTAAAACTTAAAATGATTACGATGTTTTAATAAAGATTTAGAAACGTTTTCATTTTGCGTGCGTTTTAGCGTGCGTATATCGTTTAGCGTATTTCGTTTAGCGTATATCGTTTTGCGTGCGTCTGCGTATTTCGTTTCGTTTTGCGTGCGTATAACGTGCGTTCGTATAGCGTGTGACGTGCGTTCGTATAGCGTGTAACGTGCGTTTTGCGTGTAAACTGACACGTTCACCCTACTGTA